TCAGAACTCCATTGCTCTTTTTGATCTTGTCAATCAACAAAAGTAAATTTAAGCACTCTTTCTTAGTATGGATCACTGTTTAATAACTCAATAACAAACGTCAATTCTGAGAATTAAAGCCTGTAATCTATGGCAGAGTGTTAGTCGAAACGCAATAATATATAATACTTTATATCGCGGTCGCGTAATAAATTAGCTCCAATTCCAACATAAATGTAACCAAACTGTACTGGTATCAATATCAATAAGAGCACACAGTAACTACATGCAAGCACGTAGACGGCACTTATTTGATGTTCCGTTAAGAAGAACAGAGTTGGCTAAGCAAGCTCCTCTGTCACTTACATTGAAACTACTCAATGATATTTTGAGCCGGTATCCGCAATTATTTGCCTCCAACTTGCTGAAATTTCGTCAGATGCCCACAGAGTGTTTGTGTTTCGAGATTTAGGTTCTAATGTTATTTCTAGTTAAATCTTTTTTTATATTATTCCTTTATGTGTATTTTATTACTTTTTTATATATGTTATTGTACTGATGCATTCTTGGGTGAGCGTATTGGGGGACTGTAACGCTCATCCAGTTGATGTAATAAATAAATAAAATCCTAATATCTCACCCATTGTCATTATTTTTTACATTTAATGACACTTAAGTAATGATTTCAATATCAATGTTTACATCAAAAATTGCTTTCAACATACTCTTATTCTGTCAACATATTTCATTATTTAACTGTATATAACGTCATATTTAGATTGTCCAGTCCAAAACTGCCTAATTGAAGATTTACTAAGTTGTCTAAGTAGGTTGTGATACTTTGTTTAAGCTTGCTCGCAAAGTATCACGTTTCCTATAGATTTCTTGGCTGACTGCCATCTGGAACATTTCCATAAGTCACTGAATGTCCTTTTAACTTCACTGTTTATTAAGCTTGTTTAAGTTCGTCAATCAGTGTTTGTACGGTGGTTGGATAATGACAGTCACTAGTACAATCATAATATATTTTAATACTATGTAACAGAGATATTATTAAAACTTTCATGATTCTCTATTTACATTTACACTAAACTCATCTTGGAATAGTGATAAACAGTTTATGACTAATTTTGTACGTGATAATTGAATACTAAGTATACGTGTAGTCATAATATCGTAACACTAGTGGTAAAATACATATTTTTTAAGGTTCTTTTTTCTCTATTTAATGTAAACGCACCTTCAAGTGATTATAAAAAAAGTTTGACTAATTTTGCTCTCAATGGAAATATACTTGAATTTTTATAGCATATAAATAAATATAATAAAAAAATAATTTGACAAATTTTACAATTAATACTTACACAATTTTTTTACAATTATTTACAATGACTCTAATCGTCATACCTATTGCGTACTTATGAATTGTATATGTATGTACACTTACACTAGCCAAAACTAGTGATGATACGATAAACAAATTTACGACTAACTTTGTACGCAGTAATTAATTCTTTTTTCTCATGTTGACTTAGTAAATGCCTACTACGATCATAACAATGTAGTAACAGTACCTACCTAATTTAATTATATTTATTAAAAATATATTTTAATTAATTACTTTGAGTATAAATTAATTATAATATACTAGTGACCCGATCCGGCTTCGCACTGAAAATGTAGCTTTCTATAAATGAAAAAATTCTTAAAATAGGTTTAGTAGTCTTTGAGTTTATCCATTATAAACAAACAAACGAACAATACCACCTTTCCTCTTATAGTCTTAGTAAAGATACTCCCTTACATATTTAAAAAAAATAAAGGATATAGATAAAGTTAAAGTCGTGTTGCCCCGGCATAGAATAGACCACCCGTTCCTATCCCGTGGGTGTCGTAAGAGCCGACTAAGGGAGGACGAGAAAGGGACCCTCTTAAAACATCTCTAAAGCCCAACTGCGGTTGCCAATCCGCCTGACAAGTGTGGCAACTACTGGCAAAACCACCTAAGAGGTAGGCTTATGTTCAACACTGGACAGTTAAAGGTTGATATGGTGGTGACATAAAGTTATCGAAACACATAATGTTAGATTTATACTGCATCAGTTTAAGAACATTCAGTTAAGCCTATAAATCGTTATTATCATTATCATCATTGCCTACTTGTGATAGTGACACCGTGACACCAACTAATATTGTCACTGTTACTATTTTTAGATATATGGGTAACATACTTCAAATTAGTCGCGTGCATGACTCGTGAACTAGTTATGTATGATTAGTACTTACACTGTGGTGATAGTGTGAACTAGAATCAGATACCCCCTGACTAACTAACAAATTCTATGACATGACCCTTCGTATCACTTCTATTTAACTATAAAGAAGCTAGATCTTTTCTGATATGTATGGACATGAATATCGATATTTTTGACAGAGACGTATTGTAGTTACAACACTATAAATATTAGTTTATTGTGTATATACTTCTAGGTAGTTTCATGGATTTATTTTCCATTTTTGTCAATATGAAGGCAGTGTTAACTCTTAAATAAAGGAGAAAACTAACAAAATCGTAGGCACAGCTAGTATGGGTATATAATTTTATGTCTGTTTACACTGTAACTATAAAAGTCCCATGTTGACAAGCCGTAAAAGGCCTTAATTAGTAATAATGATTCCCCACCTTGCCTACAAACGCGTACAGCGCATAGGTAGTTACTAGAAGTCTTTACATATTAACAAACTAGCGGATAAGTACTTATTTGCTACTTTGTTCGATGCAATTTAAATACTTTCATATTACATTGCTAGATTTCAAATTATAATGTTTAGTAGCTGTAAATATATATGATAGATACATTGTATTTCGTTTTATTCGTTTCGACTAAACGGGGTTTATGGTGGAGGGGTGGGAAGCAGTCCCTTTTAAATCATCACCAAAGGCCCCCTTATGAGGGAGGTTATTTTCAGCAGTGGACAGTTAACGGCTGATTCGTTTTATAGATTGCCAATAATTTTTATAGTCTTAAAAATAATAATCAGAGCTGTATAAAAAAAGCAAATTCTAAATTATTTTTCTTTTCACAAAAGAAAAATACAACTTTGTTAGTGACAAAATTTGTAAGGAACCATAACGGGACTAAATCCCTTTGAATGCAATTGTCAGTTCAAAATTGTTTTAGAATCGACGAAAATATTGTGTACATAAAAACTGGACGATTTGAGATCCTCTTGCTTTTTACAATTATTTAAATATTCATATAAAATAAGTTGTCAAAAACATATATAACTCAGTATTAAGACAATAAATTTTAAAAATGTTCTCTATTTAAACGTTAATATTACGTCAAGTGCATCGTTGAGTTTTATAATAAGTAATATTCATGTTCATGAATTAATTTCTTATACAAGGAATCTTGTATCAAATATATGCAGACGACTAGGTCGTCTGTATGCAAACAACGTGTTCATTGTCCTGATAACCTAAATGAATGAACGTCTTTAAAGAATAATTGATATATGTATATTTATCTGCTAAGTATACATTACATTCCCTCATATTTTACGAACACCGCAGGATGGATGACGTTATGTTATAGCAAAGTATAATTTTAAATCTTATTTTTATAACCATAGTATTCATATTTAGCTGTAGCATCAATTGGACACCATGACACGCTAATCCTTAAGAACATATGAACAGATATCAGCTAAATAAATATTTTTAGGTATATTAAGGTTTATTGCCTGACATTCTACTAAGTAAGAAAACTTTTAAAAGCACGATGTTCTAAATTCAACGATATTTTTTGTGACATCAGAACCAGTTCTAATAATTCTTTTTACAACCGTTCAGACTTATTCTAATGTTAATCCCATACTAATTTTCTTTCGATCGAAGTCGATATTTGATTGTGGAACAAAATCCTAAATTCTAATAACAATTTTAAATTCAAACAAGTTCAAATTAGAACTGTTTTAGAGTGTGCTGTGTATAGCACAGTCACTGAATAATCCAAACCAACCGTAGCGTAGTCAATAAATATTAAATTATGAACCGTAACATTATTCCATATAGCACATTCTTCAACAAAGTCTCTACGATGTCTAAGCTTGAGCAAGTAATTCTATTTATTACCACAGCAAATTGATTCGCGGTATCTATGTTATAAATAATATACGTAAAACTAAAGTAGTTGTATACTATTTTCGATCTCAGTGAATATTGTCATTTTAATAAATACATATATCTACTATTCTATACTACTATTATATACTAGTCTATTCTGTGCCGAGACCGTGTGGTCTACTCTCTTTCTTTCCCGTAGGTGTAGTAAAAGATGATTAAGGGAACTCATGGTAGTGGGATTGGCAGCAGCATCCCTCTTAAAAAATCTCTAAAAGCATAACTGCGGTTGCCTACCTGCTTGCCAAGCGTGGCAACTACGGGGATAACTTCCCTTATGGGGAACGCTTATAATTAGCAATGGACAGTTAGCAACTGAAATGATGGTGATAATACTAGTATAATAATACTAATATAAATATACATTAAAAAGTTTGCCCTGATGATAGACGGTAGAATCCGTTGCATTTTTCGCGATAAGGGTTTAATTGAATGAAAAATGGAGGATGATAATATGAGGATATTATCATAAACTCAAAAGGTTGCCAAGATATTTGCGAACAAGAAGCTAGTTCGTTTATTTATTTAAAATTCTTAATTGAATAGTCACATCAAAAAAGTACTCAGGTGGAGCTTTTTTAAATACAAAAATATTTTTTTAATAAACCTTATACTTATACAATTTCTTCCAAATACAAAGAAAGAAGAAGATACAAAGAAAGAAGAAGAAGAAGAAATTGTACAATAAAGTATCTAGAAAATAACTGTTGTATTTAAATTACGTTTCAATGGAAAAAAAAGTACCTAGAAGATATCTGAGCACGCTTTATTAAAATATGCCATATACAGATACAGAAAATTCATTTGATTTAAAAAAAAAAATATTTACTTTCAGATCAACAGCAAATACAGCGAGGAGCTCGCCCAAGAATGCTTGCTCTGGATTCAGCAGATCACAAACGCACCCGAGAACACTTCCGGGGACATGGACAACTTCTATGATGTCCTGAAGGATGGAACATTGTTGTGCAAGTGAGTTTTAGTCATAAAAATTATTGCTACTTTCAATTCAATATTATTTAGTGTTTTTATTTTTTCATTATCACAGTAATTTCACCTGTGACGATATCACAAGTTGTGATTTCTTCACTTGCAATGACCTAATACCATATATGGTACTATTTGTCATTGAATCTCATGGAAGTTCATGCTCATGAAAGTCGTGGAGGATACGATAGTTAACATGTTTAGTAAATGTCTATTAAGAAAAGGTACAACATGATAATTAGAATATTAAGTGTGGAAGGCGAAGTCGTAACAATTAGTATAAATAAGTATGACATAATTACGAGCGATAGTAATAATTACTTTAGGGTCTTCAGTCTACATAAATAATAGTCAACGATAAAGTGTAAAGTTTTGTGGTCTTATGTCATTGTGTATAAGTGGCACTATTTATCTATCCTATTTAAGAGCTGCGCTCTTGTCGGTGGAGCTCTTGCCACTTACTACGAGTAAACATGTAGTTTAAACAATTCCTTTTTTTTATGAAAATGAAATGGTAATCCAACCTGCACTGTCAGTAGGTATACGCTACTGAAGCACTACAGAGGAATGATAAGTAAATATGAAGATAGGTCAGTTAGTCCATCGTGACGAATTCAATTATCAATCACGAATTAGCCGCAATAGTTTCCAAGAGGAAACACGAGAGGTTGACCTGACCAGGTCACTTGCTACTTGTTAGCAATGGGTCCATTAGACCATATTATTAACAGCTCTATCATCTCTTATGCAAGTATACAATTTGTGACATCAAAAAAATAATATTTAATTTTACAATCAATTTAAGAGCAATTCTTATCTTGTTCTTTTTTCTAAACGACCGAGATCCTATAACGTTACTAGTAGGTGCCTCAGCAGTAAAGACTCTATACCCTATAGGATACAGATAGATCACACTAAAACTGTATCCAAGGAAACTTACACCCCGTAACATATCAATACTTATTCAAATCATATTGTTGACCCAAAATTCTCCATTCCTTACAGGTTAGTAAACAACATTCAACCGGGGTTGGTGAAGAAAGTGAACGAGTCCAAAATGGCGTTTAAGTGTATGGAGAACATCAACGCCTTCCTCGAAGCTGCGAGGCAGCTCGGAGTACCAGCTCAAGAGACCTTCCAAACTGTCGACCTCTGGGAAAGGCAGAATCTAAACTCTGTTGTCATTTGTCTGCAGTCTTTGGGCAGAAAGGTGCGTTTTTCAAAAGAAATCCTGCTTTATATTTTCCACGCTGTAGATATTCAGTATACGAGTACCTACTTTGACTATGTCATTTTCGTATCGATGTTTCATAGAGATTAGTACGTTTTTTTTTATATTTAAGTAATTTCAACAGCATAAAAACTTATAGGCAATTATTTTTTAAATAAGGGCGTAGTTTACTCGAAATGCTACCGACTTTTATCTTAACAATCTATTATCTCACTGCAGGGCACGGATCTCTCCCTATTGGCGGAAGATATTACCTAAATTTACCATGCTGGCAGCTTGGTAAGGTGGGGTTTTATCTAGAGTTTTCACTTCTTTTGCACTTATTTATTGTGCTTTATTCCTGTAGTTTTCATTCCCTTATTCCACTTTCCGTTTTGCACCACGAAAATGGGCCAGCGACCTCATTCTTACCCAGTAGACCGTCCATGTTTACGTACAAATAAGTTTGCAAACTCCTAGTTGAACTTTGTATGTCATCCATCATGACATGACCTTTCCCATGTCGTCTTTTCTTCGTCTTATGACCTCAGATCTTTCAAAAGCAGCATAAAAAATCATTTAGTAAGCGTGCAAAGTGCAGTTAACCATTAAAAGTAGAATATTCTCTTGATCGTATTCATGAATCATATTCTCTTTGTATTAAAATGGTGTGGTCCATATATAAGTATATCGTATACCATTTATTATAAAAAGTTCTTCAATTATAAATAGGCACCTATTAAACTATTATACCTCAATTCATACTCCATAAAAATTATGAGGCTCATCGAATTAAAGATAGTCCAGGTACTTCGAGTATTAATTATACAGGTATATACTAGAATTATACATATTTAATCACAAACAGTTCTTCTATCGCTAAATATAATATTTTAGTTGCTAATTCGGTTGCAAAAGATTCTTTTATCAGGACAGCTGGTACAAATTTTAATAGTTTATATTTTAATTTGACATATTTTAATTATTATCAAGTAACATTACATACATAACAGTTCATAAATAAGATAATATAAGTACTTATTTGTGATTTACAAATAACCTCTTGTAACTTACGCCACTACAGCAAAAAAATTAAAATTTTCAGGCCGGAAACTTTGGCAAGCCTTCAATAGGACCCAAGGAGGCCGAGAAGAACATTCGGAATTTCACAGAGGAGCAACTGAGGGCTGGACAGGGCGTGATCTCACTCCAATACGGGTCTAACAAAGGCGCCACACAGAGTGGTATTAATTTTGGCAACACGAGACACATGTAAGCTAAGGCATACATTGGGTATATGTAAGCTTTCAGAAACTAAGGATTGATTGACGTTAAGACATGCTTTTAGTCGAGATTTTATGTAACTATTACAATAATTGTTAGCTAGTCTATTTAAGCTGGCCAATGCTGATAGCTTATTGTGCCAATTAGTTCGGTACGTTCTTTTAATAAAGTAACTCGTGAAGGTCATATTATTAAAGCCAATTAAAAATTCACCTTACTTTCTGCTTTCTTGTAATTAAGTAATCTATTAATAAATTTGTCTTTTATGCGTTACATAACACTCGACTTCCTTTACATGAAACACACAATTGTATCAATTAATTAAATAAATAGTAATATAAAATATTAAAGCATTCCCAACGTAAAATATCTTCCAATATTAATAGGTGTGTACTGTTCTTAGAATTTTATAAATATAATATGTAATATCTATCTGGTAGAGAATTTGTTTCTCGTTAGCTAGTTATTACAAAATCAAACAGTTATACAAAACTTTGTTATTAGTCTGTAAAAGATAAGCATTTAATAACTATTCCGAATTCATTCCATTTTGGATTGTATTTTTGTGCTGTTTTTTTAATGTTGATATTAAAAATATGTTTTATTTTTATTTATGCGTTTAAATAAGTTGGCTAGCGTTTTATATTATTATTAATAATTTCTTTCATTATTATGTAAGCATTCCATTTATTCTCTCATAGTAATTGTGCCAATGTCTGACATTCCTTTATATAAACAGTACAATTGTTAGAATTATAAATTCTTCAAAATATAAGTACTTAATATTGTGCCTTCGTACTCCATAGGAGTCATATTCTTTGACGGTGTCTACAAGAGAATTCAAAATATATTGGCTTCAAATTAAATATAACATACAACTACCTTGTATATTGTTTACTTTGAATATTAACAAATCATTCCATATTTATATAATGTGTTAGTATAATTATTATACTGTGATTGATCATTTTGTAAAGACACTATTATTATAATTATATATTTTCATATTAATATGTATTTGACGATGCGTAAACATGATTTATTACAGATAGAATGTAAGTTTCATGAAGCACTCATTTTGTGTAACTTTATGGAAGTACGTAGAATAAATAAGTATAAATATAAATAAGTCTTTTTTTTTAATAGACCATGTTCTGTTCGAGGTGTCATGTGTGTGAGTGAGACGATTATGATTATGTATGAAGCAAAAGACAAGCGAGTGTATTTGGTTTAAAACCAGTGATTGATGATAGGTGAAAAATAAAAGTCATGTCGCTTTTTGCTAGAAACTATAGACTACTAATCCCCATTCCCAACAATTCCTTCATTTTTATCAGAGAGAGACTTTGTACAAAAGTCGCTTGCTTGGGTACCTCTATTCTATTCGTGTTTTAACCGTAAAGCAGTTGTGTTTGCATGGCTGTGTTTCGGTTTGAAGGGTGGTATATGGCGTGAATTTACAGGGTACAGAGGAATAACACCTGAGTCCTCAGGAATGGCAACGCATTGGGGGTATGGCCGCAACAGTATACTATATACATATTATATATAACGCATGGCCGAAACAGTATACTCTGTTGTGTCCATGGTACTACTCATGTCTATAGGCGACGGTTACCACTTTCCATCAGGTGGGCCGTCAGCTTGTTTGCCATTCTAAGTTGTGTTATGCTATGTTAAATTTACTCCAATCTTTGGTAGCAATACATTTTATTATGTTAAACAAAGTAACCATTATATATATATATATATATATACGTCGGGGAAACTTTCAAAATGTAATTTATTAATAATATGGAAGTAAAAGTTAGAAAATAAGAATTATTATTAATATAAACTTAGCTATTGAAAACTGTTTTTTTATACGCAAAATTTTCAATTTATTAGAAATATCAGATTTACGAATTATTCACAGATCGCCATTCGGTCAGATACTGCGCTATTTTTATTTTACTGAATTAGATATTGTTTTGCGGAAGTCAATATCACTGTTAGTTGATTAAAATTATTTTGTTTAATTCCGCTACCATGCTGCTACCTACAATTGATACTGGGACTCAGTATTTGAGTGCGTTATACTACATCTATGCGGGCTGACCACTAGATGTACTAGATAAGTAGAGGCCATATGACCTTCCCTATTAGTCATCAATCTACGACCGTTATTGAATATATACGTGTTGCTAAATTATGACACGTGTTTCACTTTTAAACGAGGCTAGATTAGGCAATTGTAGTTTGGTAGCTCTTTATTTTTTTATTTTTTTCTTTTTATCAATACGAAGTTTATAATAGTTATTTTATCCAAAAATATTAAAAAAGCTACAGCTGTATTACTTGCCTGTTCTTCTCAGCTAAAATTGCATTCCGAACTGGGCGGTGGTTTAATAAAAAAAAATTACTGTTCAAAAATACTTATAATTAAATTGAACTAACTTGATAAAATATTATTTATTATGATTATTAAAAATTAATTGAGTCTAGCTAGTATTGACTATTCGGTATCCAACTTGGGAGCTTAAAAACCCCATTGTGCACAAATCGTAATAGAATTTGCTTTGTACAATCCACTGACATAAATGTACTGTTTTTTTATTGGGTGATAATAAAATAGTAACCCCACCCGCGCTATCGGTATACGCTGGCGGAGTACCAATGAGGGATGATAGGTGAGAATGAAAAGGCAGTTAGCCCATCGAGACGAATTCCACTAGAATTAACCACGATAGTCTCCAGGGGGAAACCCGTGGAGGTCGACCTGATAGGGTAGAATATTAGCAATGAGGTAGTTAGGTCCCATGATTAACAATCCCTTTCCTCCGACGTAAATATTCTAGTATAGTAATATATGGAGACACTGTTTGGAAACTCTGACTTAGATCAGAAAAGTTCATTCCCTAAATTGAACCGACCGGGAATCAAACCCAGAACTTTTACAAAAGCAAAGTTTAAATTTATAAAATGTAGTACCTATAATGAACTTTGTTCCGTCTACTCTTGTTTTTGTCACCAAGCAGCTACACTGTGTTCCAGTGTTAAAAACCTATAGAGAGAACAGAGGCAGATGGACCTTAGTCCTCAAGAAAGGCAACGCGTAAGGTATAGACATCACAGTCGATTAAAAGTCTATGGAACTATTATTGTCCACAATAATTTCGGTCAAGTCGTGAAGAATGATAAATACAGAATATTACAATAAACTATTCATAGTAAGATTGTTTATAAAAGAAGTACCTGCCAAGAAAAATGTCGCACTGCTAGGAGGTGGTATTGCGCACTCTTTACTAAAGAACCTACAGGAATGGTCTACAGTATAAACTCGCTCATGAGAACAAAAATAAAAGTTACCCTAATTTTGTTTAATTTCCAATAAAGAGAAAAGAATCTGTTAGTAGCAAAGTCTTAGAGACTGTATTGCTAGCGGTATAGGACAGGTCGAAATCTTTAAGTCCATCCATGCGGTTCCCCTCCTGAAAATAAACGTTAATTCTTGGTGACTTCGTTGTGATAACCAATTGAACTGACTTCATTCTCGTCTATCAGTACCTCGCCAGTGTATATCGATAACGCAGGCAGAGTTACAATTCCCCAACCATCTGGTCAATAACCATGACAGGGAGAAAAAAGGGATTGTTAATAATGTGGATTAGCAACCCCATTGCAACCAACAGGTTTACCTCCTCTCGTCACCTCTGAAAACCATAGAGATTGTTTTGTTTTAGAATTCGTCACAACGTACCAACTAACTTGCTTCATCCTCACCTATCATCTCTCACTGATGCCTAGCCAGTGTATGCATATGCTCAGGTGGTTATTATCATTCCATTTTCTTTCATTAAAAAATAAGTGCACGATGGACTAGCGGATTTTCACCGTCCAATACATTGTTACCTATCATCCCTCAATGGGATACCAGTTTATTTAATGGATGATAATGGATTAGTAATTCCGCCTGTGCTATCGATATAAGCTGGTAAGGCACCAGTAAGGGATGATAAGTGACGATGTAAGCAGTTCAGTTAGCCCATCGTGACGAATTCCACTAGAATTAACCACGATGGTCTCAAAGGGGAACCGCATGGAAGTCGACCTGATAGGGTATATTGTTAGCAATGGGTCAGTTAGACCCCATTGCTAACAATCCCTTTCCCATTATGGGATACCAGTTCATATCGATAGCACAGAAAAAATTATGACCACTTGCATCTCATAAGACACCTACGATAGGAGTGGCACTCAAAGAAGGTCAAGTTGTTGCTATTCTGTTTCGGGTGTGCCTATTTGTTTCTGTCAGAACAAATACAAATATATTATGTGCGTAAGTAGACTCATCGAGTCGATAACCCTCGGTTGACGGATAGCACACGCACGTCGCGTGATACGTACGTATCTACCCCTAGGGGGCTTGTTGGAGATAGCCCCAATCTTATTACGATAACCTCATTGTTGATATTGTAACGGTATCATCACTAAGAATAAACTCGACAGAATTTTTTAGGATTCCCTACGATGATGTGTAAAACGATGTGTTTGTCTGTCTGTTTGTCATTTGGCATCTAGCTTCTTAGCAAGATAATATAGTGAGTGGGGATATATATTTACATTATTACATGTATTATATATATCTCCATATTTAGAAATAATAGGATCTTCATCGTGCCTCCAATCAATCCTGGAAGAGATCGCTTTTAGCGATAAGGTCGCCCATTGTTTTCTTATTGTGATTATTTCTCGTAATTGTCTATATCTAGAATAAGTTTACTGTTGTAATCTTTTGGAGGAAACAATAAAGAGTATCTATCTATCTATGCCTAAAAGGAATTCAAGTAATACGTAATGCAATTTGGGGGAGTATAACAAAACGTTACGGGTACAGAAAATTGTTAAGACGCATTACATGGGTCAAAAGTCTACAAAAGTTGCATTACGTAATACTCGAACGTCCTCCCACGTTTGAATAAAATAAATGTAATTAGAGCTTACATATAAACGTGAAATAATGAAATATTGACCCCGCCAGAGTAACATTTATATTTTTTAAAGTTGAACAAGAAATGGGTTACCCGCAAATGGTATTAAATGGTGGAGAAAGGTAAGGATTACCAGCAAAATGGTGGACAAATCATCAGCAATATAATATGAATATAATTTGTCAGGTCAATCTTCACGCGGTTCCCGTTGGAAACCGTCGTAGGGAAATCTTGATGAATCAGGAAGGGTCAACAAACTTGTTTTTGTCCTTACCTATTATCTCTCAATGGTGCCCTGCCAGCATATACCAAAAGCGCAAACAGATTACTATTCTATTATCTTAAAAAAATCGTATACGTCGGCAGGGCACCAGTTAATCAGGTTACTTGGCCCATCATAGCTTTATCAAAAATTAACCACGGTAGTTTCTAGAAGGGGCCACGTGTAAATCGATCTGACAGGGTATATTGTTAGCAATGGAGTTGCGAGACCTAACAATCCACTCCTCTATATCACTTAATAATCTACCTTTAGATTTTCTACAACAATACAACACGCTTCTCCAAAATCCAAAGAATTAAATTAAATGTGTGAGTACAAATATTGTCAAGGTTTCCTCTGGTCGAGTCGCTACTGAAGACGTTTCATCACAAACTCAGAGCATCACGTCTTTATAGGGTCACACACACTGAATTAAAAATTCGGAGGGGCGTGTCATGTTATATATATGCCATCTTATCCATATATTCGGGGAAATGAGTGTTTCGAAAGAAGGCGTTACGACCCTATTGCTAGCAATATACTGTGTTAACCATTATGAATAATTATGATCTATGTTCAACATAACATGAAACATAATATGGAAAATAGCATTCCTATTAGGGATTTTTATGCGGACTACCAGTCCTATTGCTAACAATATAAGGTATATTGTTAGCAATGGAACTACTAGCCAGGTCGACCTCCACGTGATCTCCCCTAAAAAACCATCGTGTTGAATTCCAGGTGTATTCATTACAATGGGCTAACTGACCTGCTTTTTCATTTTTACCTATTATCCTTCATTGGTGCCCTGCTAGCGTATACCGTTAGCGCAGACAAGATTACCATTCCAATTACCCATTAAGGGGGGAAAGGGATTGTTAGTAACGGAGACTGAGAATCCTATTGCTAGCAATATACCCAACCAGGTCGACCTCCTCGCGGTTCCCCCTGGAAACTATCATGGTTAATTCCTGATGAATTCATCATGATGGGCTAACTGGCCTGTTTTCATTCTCATCTATCACCTTTCACTGGTGCTCCGCCAGCGTATCCTGTTAGCGCAGGCGGGGTTACCATTCCATTTTCACCCATCAAAAAAAATAGCGTTCCTAGTAATAGGGAAATTATTTTTCATTGTTACGAATACATAGTCAGGTTGACCACTGCACAATCCTCTCTGGAAACCATCATGATTTTTATTAATGGGTGAGAATGGAATGGTAACTCTTACATCGCTATATGCTAGCGAGGCTTCAGTGAGAGATGATAGTTTTTTTTTTTTATACAATTTAGAAAGGCAAACAAGCTGACGGCTCACCTGATGGAAAGTGGTAACCGTCGCCTATAGACATGAGGATAAATTAGTCCATCGTGATGAATTCCACAAGAATTAACCACGATGGTTTACAAGGGGAACTATGTGAAAGTCTACCTGATAGGATATCTATCAATGGAGCTGTTAGACCATATTATTAACTGACTTGACGCAGTTCTTTACTGGCGCTCCGCCTTTGTATGCTATTAACATAGGCGGGTGTACTATTCGTCATAAAAAAAACCTTCTTCATCGATAAAAAAAGACCCATCAAATATTAAACGGCATAACCCAGAACAGCCAAACCCGAGGTAATTCAGAAAAGTTTTTTTTTTCTTAAATAAGCCCGACTAGAAATTGAAATCGGGATTTCATTTACGTCAAGTAGCGTGCCCACTGTCATGGAGTCGTTATTTAGAAATTATAGTCGCAAAATAAGAAAAACAGTAGGTACATGTATTCGTGTCCACTCCTTTATAAGTAATCGTGTAAGAAAAACTATCTTTAAAAACTATGATTTTTATCTCTCAACTTGAAGGAAATAAGGCACATTTAAATCTAAGCGGTTTCAGAAATTAGTGTGAATGTATACCTAATCTGAGGAGTGAAAGAACATTATGACAAGGAATTTTTATATACTTATTAAGATACCTACTTAGTCTAAATAAAATTCTAATTATGTACTAGTAGATAAAAAGTATCATATAGATACGTAATAGATGCTTAATAACTGTCAAAATTGTTGTAACAGAAAACCATAGACATTTTATTTCTGAAAACAACAAGCTGAAAAGTGTTTCCATTTGCGGAAAAAAGGTTTTCAATTCAACTTTTTATAAACTAACGAATCATAAATGCCCAGTCCGCGCCAAAATGACTTTATGGCTGAAATACATGTTCATGATTGGTTAAAAATAACAGCCAGCTGTTGTTTACAATAACACTTCAATGTCAATTTGACGTCAAAATTGTCATTTTTTATATTTGTTTACTTCTTTAACATCTACGATTAAATTTTAGTTTTTCTCGTGTATTTTAATAATGTTATATAAAACCAAATAATAGGTATTGTGGTTGCTAGTCTTTTTAGGATAAAGTCGTGAATATAAAATCCAATTAGCATGCGTGTGATGTGCCTGTTAAGTGTGAAACTCTATTTATGAACTTATGTAATATAGTAAAAATGTTAAAATTTTGTCGATATTATATTTCACCTAAAAAGCAAAAAATAAATAATTTATGAACATGTCTAAAGAACTAACAGTATTCTCGGATGGATGGTCGATCGACACATCGCCCCTTGATCTTAGCAACAAGAGCAATGTTGATAAAGATGTAAGTGGCCCCCTGCAGCTTTGTTTGTCTTATGTCCTGATAAGGGTGTCCTCTATAATGACCTAACCTCATAAATTGCCTCCAACGAAGTATTAATACCTAATCTTATAACAAACAAACCCTGCAACTGATTATTTATATATCATCAGTATTTTCCACTACATGGTTAAGTATTTGAATGTTTCACAGATCATTTACAGAAGCAGTTGTGTTTAGACTCTAACACGTGTAAAATATTATAAACATTTTTTGAAAATGGAATCTTACATTCAGGTACTTATTTTTTATCACATGTACCTAAATATTACTTAGGTTTATAGAAACTTATCTTACTGTTATCTGTAAAGATAAACAAAATTATTTACTACAATTTAAGGTTCACAATATACCTTATTAGATGTTTGTTTTTAATAATGGACACCTAAATAATGATTTGGATTTCCTTCTTTATTTAATAATTTATTAATGTCTTCACTTGAGAAAAATATATAGCCTACTATTACTGCATAGGAGAAAAGGGATTGTTAGTAATGGTAATAGTCCCATTACTAGCAATATACCCTCTCAGGTTGACCTCCTCGTGGTTCCCCCTGGAAACCTTTGTGGTTAATTCTAGTGGAGTACGTCATGATGGGCTAACTGACCTTCTTGAACTTCGTCATCACCTATTATCACTCATATGTCACTTGGTTCCTCTTGGAAACCATCATGTTTAATTCTTGTGGAATTCATCATCACCATGATGGCTAACTAACCTGCATTCATTCTCACCTATCATCTTGCACTGCTGCCTCGTCTGTGTATACTGATAGTGCGAGCAGGGTTACCAATCCATTTTCACCCATTAAAAAAACTATTACTGCATTAGTCAGGCAGATAGTAAATAAAATTAAGGTTAAATCAAAGTTAAAAGGGTTTTACTAGGAATGTTACTTAATACATTTTTTTTTATATTTACCCAATACTCACAACACCTGTACCATCATTGTACATGTATGTACCATGTCTATGGTACTGTTTATGTCTATTGATGAAGGTTACTGCTTTCCGTCAAGTATGCTGTCGATATGTTTGCCATTCTAAATTGCATAAAAAAACCCCACTTCATCAAAATAAAGTTACCTGTTAGGAATCAATATAATAAAATATAGTTAAAGTATTTAAGTTTAAAATCGAAACCAACAAACTGAAGTTTACTTTTACATTTATTAATATGGTTGCATGAATATAGATTTATTGGAAATATCTTAGGGATAAATAGATATTTGTATATAACTATATTTATTACCTCAGTACCTATCTATTATCTTAGTATCAGCTTTTATTACGAGTATATATATATAATAATATAAACTTTTCCTATTGATAACATGTTGGGTTTTGCTATGTGGCAATGATGCAATATCACAATCTATTGAGGTATTCTATTGATTTGTTAGATATATACATTCAACTATAACAACCTATTATAACCCCACTGCTAAATAAGAATCTTCTCATAAAAGGAAGACAGCCTACTGTCACTACCTCGGCTAGATGGCTTAACATAGTATTTAACTTAAAATTTTTCTTATATTGCATTAATATATTGTGCTTTCTTCTATTAATTACTTTTTATTAAATTTTTATCTATTTATATATTTAAATTTTGATAGCTTTAAGGAATAATTATTATCACATTCAAATACCATTTTTAAACATATTTTTAAAACTAACATTTAATTTTATGTTTTATTAAAAGTATTATGGAGAAGAAAAATTAATAAATATTAAGTTATATGCAATGTGGGTTTTGATGATGTTCCATTATCTATATACCTAGTACTTATTTGTAAATAATTATAAACTAGTAATAGCGGTATAATAAGACATTAATTCACCCTGTGACCCTGGCATAGAATGGACTTCGTTTTTTTCCTGTGGATGTTGTAAGACTAGGAGAACTTAATGGTCGAGGGATGAGCAGCAGCCTCCCTCTATAAACATTACCAATGCCAAGTGGCAACTACTGACAAATGCCACTAATAGGGAGAAATCTATATTCAGCAGTGGACAGTTAACCACTGATATGATGATAAAGCTAATTAATTCCTGCACTTTTAACTGAAAAATACATAAGTAGGTCTCCATCAAAACTCAAAAAAACAGATAAAGAATTGTTGAGTTTTGATAAATTAATTTAGCCACTTACACCATTATCTCTAATAATCATATATTAGTTTATTTGCGTATTTTATTTATGTACGTAAATGTTTCTACATAATAAACTTTATTTGTAAAAGGATAGCATTGAAAATCTTTGAACAAATATCATTACAGAGAAACTAAATATGTTTGTGGGTGCATTCCAATTTCAGTCTTATGCTATTTGATTTATTAGCGGTAATCGCTAGAATGTTTATTTAATTTACTTAGACTTATCAGTGCTACCCCCTAGGCAGTAGGCATTGATACGTAGTATCAGAGGTGGACGATCTCGACCCTGGGTTCGGTCAAAGCGGCTGCCGTCTGCCGTTGATAACATCCTCTATAAATTACATATATCCAGCACTTATTTTACTAGTTCCCTGCTAGCAGTTGACTTGTGTGCGCATATCTCGAACATTTAAATTTAATAGTTCGTTTTCAATCGTGTATTCCTTTTTTTACGTTTCCAAATGGCTAAATTTATCAACTACAGTGACTTCTTCTCTCCCCATTAGTTTTTTTTTTTGTGGATTGAAAAGAAAAGACATTAATCAAACAGTGCTTAGTGTCACGCCGTTGTGTCTACGGGACTCGCCTTCACAGGCTTTTAACCGTTAAAATTTATACTGGCTGTGATAGTATACATGCATTTTTCAAGCGACCTGCTGCAAAAAATGACCATATCCTTGATGTACCGTATCAACCCCATATACTATTCAGATTACTCCGATACGATCTAGGTCTGTGCTTGAAGCTAGTTCCTTACAAGTGCTCTACCTGCCATTGGCTATACCAATTCAAATACTACAAATTTGGCGTTTATCCCAAAGATATCACCTGACCATCACCCTATATAAATATTCTAAGGATTTGAGTATTAAACATGGATATTGTGGCAAATGTAAGTACTTACGTAATAAGAAAGACGAATTCATATTTATCGTGACTTGTGTAAGAATGAAGTTCAAAGTTTATCATTTTGTATTGTCATCGTTAAATTGTGAAATGTATTCACTATTTCGTATTTATTTGTTGGCAGTACCACCCAGTCCTGAAGGCTTTTCTCGCCGGATCGTTTTCGGGGACATTCAGCACTATACTCTTCCAACCATTGGATTTAGTGAAGACGAGGTTGCAGAATCCTAGCCAGAATGTTTTTACGGCGACTGTCAAGTGAGTCGGATGAGTCATTCAATAATATATATGTATATATGCCTATATTGCTTAGATGAGGTAGTTGACTGCTGCTATTTTAGTAACTTGCTCAAATTTCGCCAAGCACATTTGAATGTAACTTATTTCTGGCAATGTGAATGGGATCCAGTTTACTGTCTTTCCTCTGTGTCACTCATTATTTTTATTTATGATGTTTACCATTGCCAAGAAGTTAGTCTGTTTAAATTATACGATAAATAATAATAAATTAAATAAGCGAAAGAGGTTTGTTTGAATCGAAGCATTTGGCGTTCCATTGTTTCTGCCTACCCTAATGGGAGACAGGCGTGACAGATATGTATGTATGTAAATAATAATAAATTAATAGTTAGGTCGATCAGCAACAAATACAGAACAAATTAAGTTTACAAAATTCCTTCGATGTCATTGTATAATTTATTTATTTCTAGGAAGACTCAAGAATACAGGTTATTACTTATTTAGATAAATTTTACTTTTTACGAAGTTCATCCAATTCTGACTTTTAAAAAAACCTTTTTTCTGTACCCTTTTTAGATTAAGTGTTAAAAACTGGGTAAAGAATCTTTATCTACAGCTTTAAACTTGGCGAATGAATACATACCTATAACGAACATCAATATTGACAAGATTAAATAATTAATCTTTCTTTTGTTATCAACCGTTAATAAAATAAATAAACAATCATCTGCAGTAATAATGTTTCATATCTTGAGTAAATTATTAACATTGACTTTGAACACTAAAGATATATGTAGAAGACATTGGTTATCGTCTTTGATACCACCTAATAATTTAAGATTGTGTTCCACATGAACCGACTTAATCAAATATTTTTATTAAAAAATCCAATTATTTTGATTTAAAATTAAACTACGGAATCAATTTTGATAAAATTTCTACTAGAAATTGAAAATATACGCTATTGAGATAAAAAAAAAAACATGTTATTGTATTCTTATTTCGTTGCTACACAGAATTGAAATTGGTCCTCTACAAAACTGGCAAAGGAATTTGTCGGTAGATATTTTGACGCTATCGCATGTATGAGATTCAACGAAACTGTTTAACTGTGTTTTATTCTTTCTCATTTACCTATAGTTTCATATTTTTATGATCTTATACTGCTTAGTAGTTTGTATTCACGCATATTCATTATTTATATAAATAAAATTTGAAAAAGCATCAGTTGAGTTAATTGTCCATTCTTCTTTGTTGGCATTGCGGTCCAAATGAGCGGTAATGAATAAAAAATACTATTGAAAAATGCCTAAATCTAAATTTACTTGAATAAAAATATTTCTTTCCTTCTTTTTATTTCTTTTTCTTTATACGAGTAGGGAGTTCTAAAATGAAATATTCTTTACAGCGGCCGAATCCAACCCGGCATGATCAACATATTCACCAACATAATCCGTCAAGAGCATGTGATCGGGTTGTGGCGAGGCATGGTGCCATCAGTGGCTCGCTGCGTGCCGGGCGTAGGGTTGTACTTCTCATCTCTTCACTGGCTGAAAGTTAAAATCGGGAAGACCAGGAATCAAGATCTGGGCGCTATGGAGGCGGTCGCATTGGGCGTCGTAGCGAGGACAATGAGCGGTGTCGCTTTAATACCGATTACAGTTATTAAAACTAGGTGAGTTCCACTTAATAATCTTTTTAAATTGCCACAAAGGTGGCAAACAAGCATACAGTGGTAAAGTTACTCCAATCTTTGGTAGCAATAATTTTATTATGTTAAACAAAGCGAATATTTATAGGTTAAAATGTAGAAGCCGCCACACCTGTGACCTTAGGTACTTCGCACTGTGAAAATGAATTAACATTTATTATTCGGTCCAATCTAAATTTAAGTCGGTCTAGTAGTTGTGAAAATGTTTCAAACCTATTCTTCAAAAATGGTGACACGTTAAGGAAACCCATTGGCGTTACAGTGTATTCTGTAATCATCATGTGTATAGGCATGATTATATATTTGGATGCGATTTTAGCTTGTATGCCCTTAATATAAAACCAACATTATTTAAAAGAAACCGATGTTGCGTTTTTTTTATAAATCTTAATCAATTTATCCTTTTGCTATTCAACATTGTAAGATGTTGCATTTCACGTCATTATTTTTTTAAATTACACCCATAAGTAATGCCTATTCTATGCCGTGTGGTCTCGGCTTAGAAAGCTTAACTGCGATCGCCAACTCGCCTGTTCAGCGTGGTAACCATTGGCAAAGCCTCCCTTGTAGGGGAGGTCTTTGTTCAGCAATGAATAATTAATGGCTGAGATGATATTTTATATATTATGTATATGTTCTATAAGTGCTTTTATTTCTTTACAGATATGAATCTGGTGTTTACAAGTATAACAGTTTGGGGGGCGCTTTGAAATCTATCTACCGCGCTGAAGGGATCCGTGGGCTTTCTTGCGGCTTGGGTCCAACGTTGGCCAGAGATGCGCCGTTTTCTGGATTGTATCTTATGTTCTACACGCAAACAAAACAGGCTGTGCCCAAAGGTAAGAAATAGTATTAAAAAAATCACTAAAAAGTTACTAATAATAAAAATATGCAATTCAAGTATTGCTGTTTTATGTTAATATAGATAAGACAGTATTCTGTGAGTGATATTTATAGTATTGTTTATCTGTAAATGAAAGGTGAAAAGCAGTTTGTTTGTCATACGTAAATATATCATGAACATAACTGAAAAAGAAACTGAACATAAGCCTTCCCCTTGGGGTGGTTTTGTCAGTATTTGCCATGCTTGGCAGGCGGATTGGCAACCACAGTCAGGTTTTAAAGATGTTTTAACAGGGATTCTGCTGCCCATCCCTCGCCTCCCCTTAGTCGGCTTTTACGACACATATACGTACGTATATATATCGTATATATAACTAGAAACATGTTCATTAGAAAATCCAATTATTAATTATTGCTTAGCTACAGGTTCTTCTGTTTATCTTATCGTTGCATGAAATTGCGGTGATGTTAAGTAAACTTTCATAATTACATCAACATTTGTTATCGGTTTTATCTATCACGGTATTAGTTAATACCGTAATAATATGTTACTAACATGTAATACTAATGTCTGTTGGTTACACAATAAGAGAGTAATGATTAGATTTCTTTTTTAATTTATTTACCTAATTAGAAACTCAATATTTATTGTTGTTATATACATTTCTTCGACTGATATCGCTAGTTCAAATCTCGATCGTACAGTTTTGTTTTAGTCAAACTATAATTATTTGTATGACAATGGCAACTCATATAGTGATATATTTTAGAGACTTTTATGACATATATTTCCTTACTAATATTATAAATGTGAAAGTGAGTTTGCCTGTTTATTTGTTACCTTATATAATCTCAGTTTAAATAATCGCTATGAAATTTGGTATACACGTATTTTTTTTAATAGATGATAATGGAATGGTAACCCCGTCCGAGCTGTTGATATACGTTGCCGGTATACACGTACTATAAGGGATGAAGAAGTATATAAACATAACCCGATCTAGCGGACGAAGTCGCGGCTAAAACTTAGTATACAATATTCGGCATTAAAAGAAATGGGATATATCTATATACGTGAAAATAGATTGTATTTCACTGAGTAATTTTCCGCAGCCACTAACCTATCGGATAATTGCAGTATTTTCATATAAGTGCATTGAACATATTGTAAATAAATACTTATATATTGGTTCTAGAATGGATGCAGTCTCCAAGTGCAGCTAGCGTGATACACTTCAGTTGTGGCATCATCGCCGGCATAGCCGCGTCTTTGGCAACGAATCCAGCCGATGTGCTCAAGACAAAGATGCAACTGTATCCAGACAAATTCCCTAACGCTTTCAGTGCTGCCCTCTATGTACATCAGGTAAGGATTATAACCGATGTAAAAGTTCATATTAAAATAAAAGTAATGTTACAAAAGCTGATGGTTCACATGGATGAAAAAATGTAACTGTCGCCTAGAAACATGATAAGCAGTATGGACACCATAGTATACTTTGTGGCACCCATAAGAGGATAAGATGTTATGCTTCTGTACCCTGTATTCACATTGTCATATTTTGCTCATCAAACAAAAACACAGCTATACAAACACAACTGTTTGATGGCACACACGACTTTTGTAGTCTCCTTATGATTTTGGTATAATCTCTTTACTAAATTAAATACGTTGTGAATTTTTAGACGTTTCGGATATGATAATATTTAAATCCGGTTATCAATCACAAAGTGGCCATTTTTGAACCCTAGGTGTCATTTCGGGGTCTCACCTCAAGTTGTTTAAAAATATCATTATTTTTCTCAACCGAATTCACTATCATTTATATTGTTTAATTGGAATATTAAAATATCTAACTTCATTTTATGATCACATGCTGTTAATTAGGCTACAAAAATGTATAATTTATAAGGAGACATTATCTCCTTGGCACGAGAGGGCACATGTGCTCATAAAGTTATCAATATTTGATAATTTTATTGACGTGGTCAGCAACTAAATATTCATAATTCATTCTGTCCATTCTGCTGTTTTAACTGTAAAAATAGTATTAATTGGTTAGGAATTTAGTTAGTTTATTAACTATTAACCAATCGTATGTCTTATATACTTGGTTATCTTTATAGTTTAATTTAATAATTTAACTTACCTATTTAGCTTTAAATCTACAATATATTATTTGATAATTTAACTTGGTGCATAACATGCAATCTGTACTAAAAGTCAGTTAATAGTACATCTATATTTGCAAAACCCATAACTTTTAAGCATACGACCCACCTGATGGTAAGCAGTTACTGTAGCCTATAAACGTCTGCAATACCAGGTGCAATACGCGTGTGTTGCCGCACCTAAAGAAACCTCTTTAACTCTTTTTTGAAGAACTCCATTCTGTAGTCTTTTGGAAAAACATGTTGTTTCTGTAGTTAAAGTATTATTTATTTGCTACACTTTTAACTAGTTTTTATCCGAAATTTTTCTCGCATCACCGGAATTACTGATAAAAGTAGTCTACGTGTGTGCCAAATTTTATGATGATTAGTTTTTTTTTTAATTGATGATAATGAAATGGTAACCCCACCTGTGCTAATGGTATGAGCTGGCAGGGCACTTGTAAGGGATGATAGATGAGGATGAAAGCTGGTCAGTTGGCCTATCGTGACGAATACCTTAAGAGTAAATTACGATGGTTTCCAGGAGGAATCGCGGGGAGGTCGACCTGTCTGATATTGCTAGCGATAAGGCCTCTAGTCCCCATTACTAACAATTCCATTGCCCCATGACGAGTAGTTGAACAATAAAACTCCAAGAGATAACAAACAAAATTTTTATGTTTATATTTATAAGGATATTGTTTTGTTCCAGAATTATGGGATTAAAGGTTACTTCAAAGGTGCAGTGCCGAGGATGCTACGCAGGACCCTCATGGCGGCAATGGCTTGGACCGTATTTGAAGAAATAACACGGTCTATCGGTTTAAAATGACATGACATGGAATTATTTGGAATTGGAATGATACCTGAGTAGTGCATACACTGGGTTGAAGAACTTGATTCGTGGATGCTACGTTCCTAACATTTTTCTTTTGTTTGTATATCTTTGAATGATTATTTTACTTTAGAAATATGTAGGTGTTTTGTTCATTATCGTCCCATAATCAAATGTTATATTTTTTTTATTTATCTACTATTTACAACAGCTTACTTTGAGACATAAGATGTTTTTATTTTTGTTGTTATTACTTTAGTGTATAGGTAACTTATGTGATATTGGAATTTGTTTTTAGTCAGTTATAATAAAATTGTATACTCTCACTGTAATATAGGATCACACGTCGTTAGTTTACAACACAGTAGATGGCGCCTATGTCAGATTCATCAAATGAAATTGAAAAATTTACCAAATGATTGTACTTATTCCGTGGCATAATTATAAATTCCGCCTGGAAACTGAAGGAAATTATTAAGGGTTCTATTAGAGGATAAATTTTTCAATATATCGTCATATGTATCCTAATTTTTAAATGTGATATTTTAAATAAAGAGAGAGAGAAAATAATGATATATTTCATTTAGTTATTTATTTCATTTTTTTCTAGCCAACAATTGCCTAATTCTTTAGCTAGAATAGCTTATGTTGTAAAAAATCAGGCAAATAACATCCTTAGGAAGAATCCAGAACATGAAAACTTGATCTGGTATTTACGCGTGAGGCAGGGAGGGGAGAGTGTCCTGCCCACCCCAGGATGTGAATAAAGCTTTGAAAATATGACTGAGATTCATATGAGCCTTTTATACACCAATGTTGATAAGTGGCAAACGAGTTTATCGATAGAATCGTCATCGCTAGCGAGTCCATAATACAGAAAAAGATGGCGACGTAGTCTTATTGTTTCCCAAGCGAACTTTCATCGAAACCATTGTACTGATAGAAATAGTTTGCAACGTCTAAGAGAGATAAGTTAATTTAGAAAAGTATATTTCTTAAAATAACTCTTAAGAAAAGCTGAGGATCTCATTCAAGTACAGAAATGTTGCTTACCACTGTGAAAAGGCTATCTTTCAATAAAACAAAATATTAACAAAACCATAGTATATTTTACATATTTACATTAATATATATATATTTTTTTATGGTAATTGATTTATAATCTTTATTATCACGCTCAAATAAACTCTATTCCTTCATACTTAAGGTTTTCAACTAATGTATCGTGCAATAGCACCGTTCCATCAGTTTTAAATGCAGTGATGTAAGTAGCCGTTTTCCCTTCGTACTCTGTGGTCTTCAGAGCAACAATTGCTTCATCATTAGATCCAGGAATAAACTTGAATGATGAGAAGCCGTGCTTTGGTTGATGTTTTGTGATCTAAAAAATAACATAATTTATTAATGGTAACACTTATGCGTTTCCAATTCTAAGGATTCTGACGTCAATTATATGTTTATAGTATGTGATTTAATAGCTATATGAGTAGTATATCACTATCAAAATGAAAACAAATATGGTAAACACAACTGATTATGATGAAATTAATAGAGAAAACTTTATTCAGACATTTGGTGAAATGTGGAAATCTGTATCCCTTTTCTACCAATCTTGAGGACTCTGATATTATACCTTTACACCCAGGAATTTTCAAGTCATATTTCACTCATAAAACTAAAACAATAATGGGCATACAGCTTAGGTACAAAATTAATAATTTAGAAACATATATAAAAAAAAATCTATGGTTCATTTTTAATTTTCCTGTTGTTGACACATATTTAAAATACATCAGGACTTAACGGGACACAATTGCTGGTAAATAGTATGTATAAACCAGATTTTTTTATACAACTAAAAATAACAAACAAGCTGACAGCCCACCTGATTCAAAGTGATAACAGTCACCTATAGAAATGAATAGATCACATGCATGACACAGTCACAACAGGATTGCAACGTCGGCATTAAAGGTCAGGTATGTCGATATTATTTACCCGCAATCGCGTCGCGTTAATAGTCGATAGTGTATTTAAAATTTTCCATAGTACCACTTTAAGTGAACACTTGTTTAACTTGAGCAAAAAGTACTCACTTCTATTGCCAATATATTTTTAAAATTGCTATCAGCTGTTATCAAGTAGTTGCAACCCATCACTTCATCTCTTGTCTCATTGTAGGATTCATGACTACATCTTCGAGGCAAAAAATGCCATTTCTGAGTGACAGCAGACCATACACCAGACTCATGTATCATGTAGCCCGGCCATTTGATGCCTACAGAGCTCCTTACAGCTTTATATTGGTTCACCCAGCTGAGATGCTGGACCTGAAATGTAATAAAATATTTATATAAGTTAAATTTGTGTTGTGCAGGAATTGAACCCACAACCACTGGAAGATGTGCTTGTATTTTACCGCTACACCACCAAGGTTGTATACTAGTTTTATAGAATACTAGCTTTCACCTGCAACTTCATGTGTGATCAGGATATGTTTAGTGACAGAGATAAAAAGTAACCTATTTATTGCCTTATCCATCCCATATAGTAGATGTATACAAAATTTCATAGTGATTGGTTAAGCTGTTAAGGTGCTACAAACAACCTCAATTTCACATTAATAATATTAGCAAAGATGGCCTTCTTTTATAGAAAGGGATGTAGTAAACAGCAGGATTTTAATGAATTGTTATAAAATTGATTATATGATGTAAAGAAAGTAAACTTGCATACTAAGTTCTCATTACAATGTTATGTTTAAAAACCTTTTAAAGTTATATCCTCATATGGAAACAGGATATGCATAAACCACTATAGAATACTATACATCTAAAAACTTTACCTCTCCATTCATATTAATGGCTTTGACCCACATAGGATCATAACTCTGGAAGTCCCCTCCTGCAGTTGTCCACTCCTTACCCATAGATCCCACATATAGAATTTCATCTTTGACAGTAGCCCATTCTGACTTAAAACCTTTTTCAACACGGCCATTTCCATCCACTAATATCACCCATGGCACTATTTTGTTATGTATTATTTCAAACACCTGAAAATTAAAAATCAATTATAAAATATATGGGGTTATCCATGTGCTGATGGAATATTACAGAGCAGTGACTAAGGAAATGAAGCTCAATACACCAGTAGAAAAAACTCAATATACATTGGTATGACCGAGGTATGAAGATAGATTGAGACAAATTGTAGCTTATATCTTTCTCCATTAAACATCACCAAAACCTAATTAGGTTGCCAAGTGTGACAACTATTGGCAAGCCCTCAATAGGGCGAGGCCTATGAACAGCAGTGGATAGTTAAAGGCTGACACAGTGATAATGATCTTTCACAATATAATATTAGTGATGATAGTGACTAATTTACATCAAGCAACTGCTCATTTTGTTCGCCGTTCCAAGTCACATAACAGAGCATAGACAATTGAAATAGTAAATATGATCATTGAAATACAAATAGTTACAATCTAGATTAGAAACTTTTATATAACTTACCATACCAGACCTGTCATCAAATGTAAGCAATCTCCCATCAAATATAATCAACTCTGATAACTCCATTCCACGTCCTTTGTGAGAATATGTAGATGAGAGTATTACAGGAGGCTGTGGGTCCCAAGTTATGGTTACAAGCATTTTAACATGATTGTAGCTCAAGTATCCTTTCTTTAGATAGCTATTGTATGTATTAGGTTTTGTTGCACTTTTAGAATTAGTGTCTAAATCAGCTACAATACCAATTCGAAAGGTCACTACATCCCCAGATATCCGCGGCGGTGAGAGTGGATATGTAGTATTGTATTTTCTTATTGTGCTTACCCATTTATTCGGAACATACACTTGTGAGCTTGCCCACCAATTATAATAAAACAGTATTAATAAAAAAACACCAACTAAAATTATTAATAACACAAATGGGGGCTGTATCCTTACTGTATTTCCTACCCTGTATGTGGCAGGAGTGCGAAGCGCCTTGCGCCAGTCGCGTAACGATCCTCTCATAGTTCTATCTTCAAATTCATAAATGTCATACATAATAAATAATAAAGTTATCTATTTCATTATTAATTATACTGATAATAATCACTTATAATTATTAATGACTAGTCACATAAAATTATAACAGCGTTATTTCATTAATAATATTCTCTATAATAAAGACGCTCACAATTGACAAGAATACACTATTTTCTATGAGTTACAGGAGTCCGGAATCAATTTAGAAAAACTTTGTGAAACAGGTATCTTGTATGATGATTTAGGAGAAAGACTAAGGGGCATTTTGAACGTAAACCTTAGAAATATTAATTCCTATTTCAGTTAGTAAAAAGGATGACTTAAGAAGACAACGAAACGAAACGGACGTCACGTCAACACAACACACATATGACAATGACAATGTCATTGTGACATAGATACTGCTGCGACATTGTCATATTGACAACACCGGAGATTGCGTTTAGTTTTGATACCAAGTATTTACACGTATGAATTTTGTTAATTAAACATTAAAATACTACAAATAATATAATGTAAGAAAAATACTAAAAGTGAATAAAAATAATTAATAAACACTTATTTTTTGAATTTTTTACTAAGAGCTTTCATTACTAGCTTAATTTACTTAATTATTGCAGTGTTTAGTCACTTAGAAAATCGATTGATAAGAAATTCTTATTAAAAATAGTAGGTATCTGTTACCTTAGTAATGATAACGGAGATACCCTACACAGGCGAGGTCGTTCTGTCCATAACTGCGAATGATAATAATTACCACCGACATTTTACTTGATGTTTATGTATAGCTGAATTGGAAAGCAGAAAGAATTTCTTTTCAATTGGTGCAGCTCCTTTTTGGATATGATGTTTTATAAAATATTGAAATCTGCTAATTGATTAGTTGCGCACGTTTATATTGATTGATAAGGGCTTAACAGTAAAGAATTGAACAGTTTCAATTGTATATCTATACATAATTTCCTAAGTAATTACATTACAAGTATCGCCCGTAGTTGTATCTTGATACTGAAGTCTTTAACATTGCTCAAGTATTGAGCTATCAGATGTAAAACATATTTTTCAAATGCGATTGGTAGATTTAGAGATAAGCTCGTTCAAACAATTAAACAAACAAACTTCCGCTTTGTTATTAATTTATATTAATATTATGTTAGTACGATTAGCTGTGAGAATTTTCACAATACGATAGCCGGCAGTTAGGTGATAGAAGTGAAGTCGTGTTGCGTACATACAAAATAAAAAAAAAATACACGTTTACTTTCACTGAATGAAGAAATTTAAAAGTGATTACTCTCGTCAGAAACGGACATCCTGTAGGTACAAAAAATGTAATTGAAATAAAATTAAACTAAACCATTTTGTTGATTATGTAATTCAATTTTGTACAAAGTTCATAGGCCGTAGTAGATGGAGAGATAAAATAGGTATATACATAACTACAAATGTTTTGTTTATCGGAAGTTCGCATAGTAGAGTGTTAGTCAATAGTAGTTGGTAGACTTTCCTGGTATGAATAGATCAAAGATGCTGGAATAGTTCTCAATGCTTTCATTTGTCATACCTGTGTCCAATTCGTAATACTTTTTTATTATTATTTATTTATTGCTTCACAGTACATATTACAGAAGATCAGCATGAAATACGTTATTATAAGCGGTCTGTTTCTGCTGTAATTAGGTTGCATGACTTCATAAGTCATGTAACCTAATTACGGCAGAAAAAAGCAAAACTGTTAATTTTTCACGAGGACTATCCTCATATATGGGTTTCGTTATATTCGTAGGCTCCCATAATATCTGTCCTGGAATCAGCGCTCAGTGTTCTTAACAACATATCCATCAACCTAAGCTAGGAAAGTTTTGCCAGTAGTTGCCACGTTAGGCAAGCGGATTGGCAACTGTTAGGCTTTGGAGATGTTTTAAGAGAGACGCTGCTGCCCAACCCTCGCCCTCCCTTAGTCACCTCTTACGACACTCACGGGAAAGGAAGGGGTGGTCTATTCTATGCCGGGAGACGGGAAATATAATAGTATGTGAATTTTTAATATATATAGAACTAAATTAGATATAAATTAGAAAACTAATAGAACATAGAAAGTACCGTCCTTAATCTATGTAGTAACAATATTGAATTTGACTATACTTATCATTTGTTTTGACATGGAATTATTGTGGAGTAGGTACCGTAGAAACAGCATGTAATATCTTCAATCTATGTGCACTACGAAGTATAGTCACATAGATTTCCATTTAAAAACTTAGTAATTATTCGCTCATTTACTTGACAAGATTTAGGCTTCTTATAGTTCATTCACAGTCGATAGCTTTTTAATCAAACATTGACAGTGCCATAGTAGCTAGTATAGTATTTTTTGCACAAGATGCATGGGGTATTCACAAACATCTTATGGTATATAGAATTTGTCGCATTTGCTGTAATATTGATCGTTTTTTTCTGCTTCATTTTGTATTTAGCCAATTTGAATTACATTTCCTACAATCTCCGATACGACATGAGGAAAAAGTGAGTCGAATTTTTTACAATTTATTTCTTCAGTTGTCTTTGTCAGAAGGCACAAAATAGATTAGATTCTTTATTAATAATAGAATCTATATTTATTTATTTTATTAAATACTTTATTGTACTAATAAAATGACTGGTAAATTTATCACGATTGGTTAACTGGCTTAACTTTATCTTCACCTCTAATTACTTACTGAAACCTAGTGTAGGCGAAATTATAATTCTATTTTGATCGTATTAGAAACTTAAATTAAATTATTTGGTATATCTATGTAAACGTAGCTTGAAATTATAGTAATTTATTTAGTATATTTGTTTAATAACATAGCCATCACGATTTATTAAAAGGGTATTTGTATAGTTTATAAAATGAAAATATTTAATTTTGGTTTATTAGCGAAATAAATAATAATGATTAAAAAAAATTCAGTGCCACTACCCTCATACATTTCTGCAAAGAACGATTCTGAACTATCGACACCATTTTTTTTTAATGGATAATAGTGGAGTGGTAACCTCGCCTGAGCAAAGCGTATACGCGGGTTAGGCACTAGTGAGGGATGTTTGATTAGGATCACAACAATAAACCATCACGATGGTTTCCCGGGGGAACCACGTAGTGGTCGACATATGCATATATAGGATAGGATATATTTATAGTATATAATCCTAATTACTAACAATCTCCTCTCCCCCTATCTACATCATTGACTACCTTGCAGCATTTTTAACCTTGTCGTTTTCCTACACTGCATTTAATTACACGGCGTAGCACTTAATTTGTGGCTGTAGCCCATAAATACATAAACGATATATATCTTTGGAAAACACACTTTATATCCTGGGGAAATAAAAAATATCGCTACAAAAACATATAGAAATTTGCAGCGAACTTTAAAAAAAGGGCGAGCAGAAAAGATCATGAAAAGGTCGTAGTGTCACAAGCCTGAAAAAGCCTCTCTTTTAATAATAATATAATAATACAGGGCGTAGCCACTCGAGAACCATTCTTCTCTACTGGGGATCGATATTTTTTATTTAATGCTTTTATCATCATCTTCATATCAGCCTTTAATAATTGTCTATTGCTTAACATAAGTCTCCCCTTGGGGGGTTCTGTCAGTAGTTGCTACGCTTTACAGGCGGATTGACAACTGCAGTCCCTCGCGCTTCCTTAGTTGATTCTTACGACACCCACGGGAAAGGAAGGGGTTGGTATTCTATGCCGGGACCAAACGACCGATTTGATTCTTTACAGCAGTAAATTTACAAGGTATGAAAGTACAATTAAGCTGAAGAACCAAGACGCTTATTCGTCCTCATCGTTTTATCTTTTACTAGCATTCCGTCATTGTACACCATTAATATGGTTGGTATTATTCATTAATCCATAAAAATACATAATATAAGAGACAGAGATGGTGACACGTGAGGAGTACTATGGACACCAATGAGTTCTGTGATATCGATGGTGCTATGTCAATTTCTATTATGGTAGCTAGTTTGCAATTTTAACTTGCATAAAAATACGCATGTTTCTATACATGTGTAGTTCGGTTCGTGGACAGCTGTTACCAACAAATCCATTTTTTTCATATCTAATTCTTAAAAATATTTAAACATACAATATTTTTAATATCTTGATTGTCGTTTATTTATAGGTACATGGCTGATGGCACTTGGTTGATTCAGAATTAATGAATGATTTGGATAGGAAAAAACAAATAATATTGTAAGTAACAAATCGTCTATTCTGCTTCTATAGGTATATAAATATATGATATATAAAAAAGAATCGAGGTTCATTAGTCTAGCTAAATTTTTTAAAAGTTTTGAGTTATTTGATTTCGTTTTCGTTTCTGTCTTGGTTATACGAATAAAGTTGTAGATACAATTAATTCTTACCACAGATAATATAATACTATATTAATATCCTTCCTGTTATTAAAGTGATACAAACTATGTAGGATAGAGAAACATTATATTCTGGGTAAATATTTTTCAGGTCGCATGGATGAAGTCGCGGGTAAAAGTTAGTTGAAAATAAATATAAAAAATGAGACAAAATTGTGAAATAAAATTTTTAATTACTATACTTATTTATGATAACATAAAGTATCCTATTATAATAATACTCGTATTATAAATACGAAAATATATGTGCGATGGTCTATCCATGTTTTTTTTTTATGGTTTGCGGTACAGTATTTAAGGCATCCCGTCCTCGCTATTGGATACAGGCTCGCTATTGGATGCCCTATACAAGAGAGTACATGGTGGCCGCAGTTTAGATGCAATATTTGAGAATTAGGAAGGTAAATGAACGGCCGGATACTGCAACAAATGAGTATGTGGTCGGCCCCCGAACTGGATGGATGGATGTTTTTTTACTCTTTTCAAATCTCGCTCGCTTCGAAATTTTTTAACCATACTGTATTGAATTGAAAAAAAAAATGGATGAAAAGGATAAATGAAAAATACTGCTAAATAATTAAAAGAATCAGGTATACAATTTGGAAATTAATATCCGGGAAAATGCGCGCTCCGCAAGGGGAGTCACTTAAATAAAAAAAAAACCACACCTTATTATTGGAATAGAATTTTCATATTTTAATAATATATTATATAATATATAAGCTATTATTAGTCTATTTATATTTCAGTCTTCATCAATATGCCAGGAAAAAGCCGATACCACAAATTCCAGAGCCTTACCAACGGCCAGTGTGTTACGACCTCGGCTGCATTTGGTTTTGTCGATTAATGAGCTGTATAGTCACTATAGCTGTATGTTACTATTTTGCCTATTCCTTAATTACTAACACCAAACTCAAGTTCGGTATGTTCGTGCCTTAATAATATTAAAATTTAGTTTTATACCTATATAATGAAATCTTTTTAAACATTCTGTATTTTTGTGTTGCATTTAATATATTTATGGTATTTATATATATTAATTTTAGAATTTAGTGTGATAATTATAACAATATAAAAAAAAAATTGTTTCTTTAATGACTTTTTAGTTCACAGATATTTATAGGTATTTATTGATTTTTTTAAGAAATTAGGTTCCGCAAACAGTCTGATAACTCACAGATACTGTCTCCCATAGACATGCTAATTATAAAATACTAGCGATTCGGCCCGACTTTACACGCGTAGATAGAATTTTGAGAAAATGATATATAGCCCTTGTTACTCGCTGATAATGTGTTTTCTATAGATGAAAGATTTTTTCAAATTGGTTAAGTAGCTTTTGAGATTTGTTTGTTTGTTTATACCATTATAGTTTGTTTATCCATATAAACATATGGATAAACAAACTATAATGGTATAAACAATCAAACAAATCTTTCCTCTACATTATATTAATATAGTATATTCTGTACTGCATGACATCCCAATTCCCACGTGTGGGGTAGATACATATTATTAATGATATTATATCATTATTCTTCAGAGAAAGAGAGAGAGAGAGCTAGCCCTGTGCTCCCAGCATAGAATATCCCTTTTTCCCCGTGGTTGTTGTAAGAAGCGACTAAGGGAGGGCGAGGGATGGGCAGCAGCGTTTCTCTTAAAACATCGCCAAAGCCTAATAGCAATTGCCAACCTGCCTAGCGTGGCAACTATTGGCAAAACCCTTCAAGGGGGAGGCTTATAAGTCCAGCAGTGGACAGTTAAAGGCTGATATGATGACGATGATACTTTAGAGGATTAAGATAAACACATCTTTTATATTTGAGATGACTATTTCATTGTACTATTCTGGGTTGGGACCCAGTCAGTGCTAGTCATGTCTAACTTATGTATCTACTGTGTACGCCAAAAGGATACAATATATGCAGATCGTATGACTGCCTATTTTTATTTTTAAAATAACACAATTAACATGGAAAGGTTTTGCTGGAAGAAATCTCTTATTAGAGATAAGCTCGCCTTTGTACATTATGTTTATACTGAATTGTGATTAACAGTATGTTTTGTGTACAATAAAGAATAAAGAAAGAAATAAAAAAGGAATTACGTATGAATTTCTTTACCTATCTAATTCCCAAAGACAAACAAGGTCAAGACAGGACTAACTAGTCCTGTCTTGACCAGTATCCTAATGTATGCACGTGCTAATACTGAATTCTGATTACCGATGTTTTATCATATCTTCTAGGATATGATAGTGAAATTACGGCAAGAAATACCTTAGCCCTCAATATTTTTTTTCTATTGCTAGAGAACAAACGAACTGACGTTCCACCTGAAAGTGATTGCCCTCACCCACGAATACTTGAAACACTTAGAAAGTTTTCATTGCTTTGTTAGCCTTATAAAGATTTATAGGATAACGTTTTTTTAAAGCTCGGTATTGCCGCGTAAGATAAGGCCTCCGAGGGGTGCCTATTTTTGAACCCACATCTATAGGGGAAAAAGGGTTGTTAGTAATGGATTGTAACAGCCCCATTGCTAGCAAATACCCTAATAAGTCTATCTTCACGTGGATCCCCCTTGAAATCGTCGTGGTTAATTCTTGTAGAATTTTTCACGACGGGCTAACTGACCTGCCTTCATCCTTAACTATCAGCTTTCACTGGTGCTCCGTCAGCGTATACCGAAGTTGCCATTCCATTTTCAAACATTAAAAAAACCACATCTATAGAGAAAAACATCCGTAACCTATGTGTTGCGAAAATATATAAATTTTTTTTAGAAGAGCTAACGGTGATAATAGTTTATTGTCCTTATTATCCTGTTTATACTGTCCTCTCTTATCTAGAAACCTCTGTTTATACTAGAAACTTTATGGTCGTGTAATTAATTTTTTCACGATTGAATTAACTATGTTTTTGCGGGCAATCCCGCTTTGTAATAACTTAATACCCCTCGAAAACAAATTGAAAAGCGTCAATAAAATTGCAATAGAACTAATGGAGAACGAAAGTGAAGTCTCAATGAGTGGCAAACAAAAGATAAACTGATCAACGGATGTGTAATTCCAAGACAGCGGTCGTGACTCGCAAATTCGATCATCAATGATTGATGGCGTTGACTCTTTTATTTATATACCAGTGATTGATACCTGGCGCTAGTTTTATTTTTTCTACACTGTACTCACATGTATTTAAGTTTATATAATTTATTTTAGATAGCACATGTGTTTTTTGACGCCTATTGCTATTCTATTTATCTCTGTGCAATTCACTTGTTATTTTATTGGTGGGTACTAAAACGTAATAATTCTTTTTTTTTTTTGTATTGATTACTTTTATATTACGTTTTAATAGTTTTTTTATTAACACTCGCTTTTCCACTGGTTTTGAAAACAGGAAGTCAAATACTATTTCAAATACTTTGTATAAATATATTACATTTCATGACGATTTGTTGAGCGGTTAAACTATAATAAATGTAAACAAACTCACTTTCACATTCATATATGATCATACAGATAGTATTAAACTGTATCAGGTTCCTATATGTTTTTGTAGGTGGGGTAGATTTTTTTAACGAATGATAAAGTAATGGTAATCCCGCCTGCGCTATCAGTGTGCACTGGCGGGTTTTTTTCAATGGATGATAGTGAAATGGTAACTCTGCCTGCACTTACCACAGTGGGGGATGGTAGGTGAGGATGAAAGCAGGTCAGTTGCGCCATCGTAACGAATTCGTCAAGAATTAACTACGATAGCCTTCAGGGGAGACTGTGTGAAGGTCAACGTGGTAGATTGCTAGCAATGGACCGCTAGTCCTCATTACTAACAATCCCTTTCCTTGGACAAGAATATTATGCATGCGTATCAAATTTTACTAACCTTCGAACCGAAACACAGCTATGCAAGCAAACTAACGGCAGAGATACGAGTAGGACAAAGGTAACTAAGCTGACGACATCTGTACAAAATCTCTATTTGGTATTCTTATCCCGTCACCACGCGGACATAACGTACTGTACCCAATTCCATAAATAAAACCTATCTAGAATTACCATCAACGAACCATAGAGATTTCAACGTGATAATTAACAATAGCTGCAAACGGATCGTGTATAATGGCAACAAGTCGTCATGCACAGTGGCGCATCCCTCCGTTTTATCGCATAGATAGCGATTTCTTATAAGATGGCTGTGTAGTGTTACCATTTATTGTTTGTGAATAGTCGGGACATGTTTTATAGAAAGTTTGGTCTTGTTAAAAAAAATCGTAAAGATTTTGTTTCGTAATAAGCAGTAATTTGCCCTGTAAAGAAAATGGAAATTGGAATAGTGCTAAAATTAAATAAATTAACAACAGTAACATATTATTTTGTAATACACAGGTTTTACTCTCATATTATTCCCAGAGTTCTTTTGGAAGTTGCTAATATACTTATTTCATGTTCTACAAGTATGTATACAAGTATTACATAAGTATTACTATACCCACCAGTATGCATTCATACTTTTTAAGTATATCTGAGCTACGGTTTAAATCTACGACGTGTTAAATTTTCAAAAGAAGAATGGAAATCCTGTATAATCTCAAGATATGGTAAAACTACTATAAAGACATAAGTTTGCATGTTGCCCTACCGGATACACTGGAGATATTTTGTAATGAGCTTAAAACAGGTTTGATAAAGAAAAACCGCATTTCAATTTCATTTTCAACTCGCCAGACTAGTGACGGGAAATGCTTAATTTTTCATGTTCTGCATACGTACCTATCTAGACAGCCTACTTAGACCTTCAAATGAAGCGTAGAAAGGTTAGGAAATAAATTTTGGATGTGACAGTTACTAGAATTGATTATTTCTATACATAGGATCCTCCAAACATAGCGTGTAAAAGCACTTAGAGCTGGAGTACAGCTAACTGTTGAGAGTAAAACATTGTTTTTTCGGTTGATTGAATCAATGTACCATGTCGCCTTCGCGTTTGTTCAGAATGGTGTAGTTATATGTCTGCTATAATAAAAAAAAACCCTAAAATCAAACAATAATAAAATATATTATGTAGACAACATCTTGGCGTAATGATATACGGATGAAATTCGCAAAGAGATTAGCGATAAGATAACTGTCCACTATTGGACATAAGCTTTCTCCATAAGGGGAGTTTTGCTAGTATTTATCACGTTTAGCAGGCGGGTTAGCAACCGAAGTTAGGCCTTTCAGGGTGTTTTAAAAGGGACGCTGCTGCCCATCCCTTGCCCTCCTTTAGTCACCTCTTACAACACACACGCGAAACCCATTCTATGCTGGGACACACACGGCGAAAGTATTATATATATATATATATATATATATATATATATATATATATATATATATATATATATATATATATATATATAGGACAGAATATATAAGGACAGAATATTAAGTTTATTGCATATGTAGATTTGTTCCGTTATTTCTCTGTGTCGTTTAATTTTATTATGACTATTCTTCATATCCCCTAAAGGATTTATAAATATAAATACATAGAAACGTAATATAATTTATTGTATCGCCTACCAACTACACGGCATTGTGTAAAATGACGTACAAATGAGACATAGGAGGGGTGGGGGGGGGACAACATGCCCTGTCAAATCGACCTCCACGTAGTTCCCTCTGTTAACCATTGTGCTAAATTCCAAGTGTATTCTTTACGATGGGCTAACTGACCTGCTTTCATCGTCACTTATCATCCCTCACTGGTTCACCGACAGCGTATACCGTTAACGCAGGCGGGGTTACCGTTTCATTATCATCCATTAAAAAAATAGGACATTTTGGTACTTTGCTATTATAATACTGCTGGGCTACGGAATCCTAATAAAATATTATAGGAGGAACAACACAGGTTGTGAATGGTTCTTATAAAGAATTGTTTTAATTACATTTATTACTAGAGATGTTAATTCTCATCACGTGATAACTTTGTTTTTATCACGTTAATCTATTTATGTGTTTGTCATTATACTTGTTTAACTACTTCGACACTGTCGTG